CTCTTTTATAAAAGCATGAGGCACTGCAGAATGTTGTATAAATATCCAGATAAAAGATTAGTGAGAGATTCCTGAGTGCATTAGTGCTTCTAAACCATAGCCCACTTTGAGGCAGGGAGGGGACTTCAGGGACTGTCCTCTGTAGCTTTCAGGTTGTTACACCCAGATTCTACTTGACATTACTGACATTACTACCTCTCCCAAGAGCTGAGGAGCTGAAAGCATGTCAGAGAAAGAGGAGCATGACTTAAGCAGCTGAGAACATATGAAGAAAAAAAAAAAAATGAAGTCCTTCACCGGAAGATAACCTGATTGATTTACCCATTTTTTTGTTTGTTTTTATTGTCTAGGATAGAACATAAACCCCACAGCTCTGGGTCTTGCTTTGCTTCTATCCTTGCAATAACCCATTCCTGTCCTTTTGGAAAGGGCTTCCACACCCAGGCTGCCCATCTGATCCTGGTGGATTTCCTGGTAAAGGCAGCAGCAACTTCCACTTGGATTCAGCAACTGTCCCTCTGACAGTGTTGACCACACTCTTCTTGCAGAGAGAGAGCGGTGCACTGGTGAGGACCCCTGCTTAGAGGCCCAGGCAGGTGTCTTCCACCCCTCAGCCCTCCCCTGCCAAGGAGAGACAATATGCACAGCTCATCAGGTGCTCAGGGAGCAGGTCTCCTATTTGTCCACATATATGTGCACCTTCTTCTGCCTGGAAAGCTTCCCACACTTTCTACCCCCAAGACCCACTTTGCCCAATAAATTCTTACTCCTTTTTGCATAGAACTGGGGTGCCGGCCAGAGGTGCAGGGATGAGAGGATTCACCAGAGACAGAGTGGGGAACAGAACAGGCAGATCTACTGAAATACAATGAGTGGAGCAGTGGGTGAGACAGGAAAGGTCTGCTGCACCAGGTGGGTTAGCTCCCTGGCTGGGGATCGAACACAGGCTGTAGTAGTGATAGCACTGAGAATTAACCCCTAGGCCACCAGGGAGGCCATCCTTTTCCTTCTTTGAGCCTTCCCAGCATCTACCCCACTGGGATTCCATCCCTGTACTTTCCTCTGTAGTAACACACAGGACAGAGCCCTCCCTCCCTATTTGTTCATTTGCCTCACCTGCAAGTCACCCTCATGAACAGGGACAATCTCGTCCTCCTCTCAGCCCCTGGCACACAAAAGATACTTGAAGCATGCTGGGTGATGAACAGGGGAGCAGGGGCATCGTGTTTACCATTGCAAGCTGAGGGTGAAGCAGTCTTCTAGATGCTGTCTAGAGTGGAGGAGGGTGACTGATCCAGGGAGCAAAAACAGTCTTATATCTGGGATATATGTGGCCCAGTCATGGGCAGGCAGAGAGACCAGGATCTGAGTATTCTAGAAAGCAGTCAAAAATGGAGGTTCAGGCCAGCTGCTCACAAAGTCCATTTACCTGGCCCTTATTCTTCTTTGATAACACTTTGTTGGGAGAACTGGATGCAGAATAGACCCAGATGAATAAGACGAGGTTACTCTCCTGATTGATGGAAGAGAAAACTGGGCAGAGCATGTGGCTTTTTTCCAGAACCCATGGCCATGATGGAGCTTCAAGCTCAAATAACTTCCTCCTTTGAGGCCCTATATTCTGCCCCAGCAAGTGCCTCCCAGGCAATTCTGCTTCCAAAAGAAGATGATGCCAAGAGGTCATTGGAGCTGGTCCTAAATCCTCTAGGTGCCTGAGCTGAGATGTGCCTAGTAGAACTGGGGACTTCAAGGCAGCTCCTGGGAAGGTTCTGGGGAAAAGAGAACTTTCTGGGTGCTTGGGCAGCATTTATGAACCCAAGGGAACCGAGATAAAATCATCTAGGGTAAGAGGTGATGGTTCAAAAAATTGTACTTTCCTGATTCTCTGGGATCTGCTTAGAGGGCCAGATCCTTGGAAAGAAACTGGGTCCTACAAGTTACCATCAGGAATCCCAGCTGCTCACAGGTGTAGACTATGAAAGGAATAGAGTGTTGTTGTGTGTGGGTGGGCGTGCATGTGTGTTTAACAGCAAACATCCTACTTTGAAAGGAGTCAGATTGGAAATGTCATTTAAGCCAGCTGAAAAATATTCATTACAGTGGGGTGGCCTCAAACACATCTTTAATTTACCTGCTGAATTTAGGACTAAATCACTCATCATCCCTAGTCCCACTCTGTACTTGAGATTCAACAGAACAAGGTTAAATGCCCAAGGGCTTGGCCATCAGAACTGTTCATGAGACCACAAAGGGAGGGTGCAGCCTTGGGAAGGGGAAGTAGTTCATCAGGTGAACCCCCAGCAGGCCAGGCACATGAAGTAGTGGGCACCGGTAGAGACCTGGGTGAATATTGCAGCCAAGTTGAGGCTCTGGCCCTTGGTCTTGCTTGCTGTCAGCATCTACTGAGTACCCTTCCATGGGTCCCATTTGGGAGTCATTGACTCCCAGAACCTGAACCTTCTGTGGCCCAGGAGAAGGGTCCCCCAAAGCAGAGTGTGTCTAAAAACCTGTGCTCACTGGGTCCACGTGTGGAAGCTCTGTAATACTCTCAAATTTCCACCCAAGTCATTGGGTGGAAATTCCACCAAGTTCAATGTCCGTTTGTCACCTCTGGCTTTTGGAATCTTAGACATTGTCCTGCCATTTAGAAAATAGTAGGGGTGGTCTTTGCATGAGTTCTCGAGAGTCCAAATCAAAAGACATGAAAGGAAGAAAAAGTCCATTTCAGCTAATGCTAAATACTGACAGCAGCTTAGGCAAGGTTGGAGGCAGCCAGAAATCTGAAATACATGATCTTATCAGCACTACCTTTTATTTGGAGGTTCATAAACACTTCATCAGTTTCCAGTTTCTTGTCACATTTAATAAGACAATCACTTACTTTTGTTTTATGTACTGGATATATGAAGTCATTTTAATCATGTCTAAATCTCATGAGAAAGATGAGGATTGGGAGAAAGTTCTAATATGTAGGCCACCTGGGCAGCAGGCATTTAAAGCATAATCATTCTGTTGTCCCAGCAGACTGCTGAGATTACATTTAACCTCATTTCTCAGTTCAGAAAACTGAGACAGTGAGGTTAAATGACCACTTCAAGGTCATACAACTATCAGTGGCAGAATCACTCTCTTGAATGTGTGTCCTCCCCATTATACCACGTTAGCTCCTCTTTTCCTCATCTACTGCATGTATCAAAGTTCATGCTACATTTAAACGTGCGTCCTGGGGCCTCTCTGGTGGCGCAAGGGGTTAAGCACAGGACTGTGCAGCTATCCACAGCCACTGTAGCACAAGTTCGATCCCCGGCCAGAGAGCTGACCCACATGGCACAGCAGACCTCTCCTGTTATGCCCACTGCTCACCTCAGCAGTGTATTTCAGTGAGTCTGCCTGTTCTGCTCTCCACTTTGTCTCTGGTGAGTCCTCTCACCCCCTGCATCTCTGATCTGTGTACCCCAGCTCTTGTATGCATAAAAAAATAAATCTTTATGTCTATCTATCTATCCTGTATATGTATATATATATATATATATATATATATATATATATACATGCATCCTTTACTTAACCAATATACAAGCATTCTGGTGATATTAATTGCATAGCAAATGATAGAGAGAAAATCTGTTTTCTCTATGGCTAAATGAAAAATTTGTAGATACATTTCCATGAAAGGGAAAAGAGATCTTACTGTAAGCTATGATGAGCACTGAGTATCAATTCATATAGTTGAGTATCAATTTATGAATAGAATTGAGTATTAATTTGACATTTTTAGAAATTTACCCCAATTTGGAGAATTTCTGTAACTGTGGCACTTTCTCTAAAAGCCCAGTTATTCTGAGACTCGCCATGTCATCTCCTGTGCCTACCTTTTCCCATCATCTGTTCATATCTTCAACATAGTTAAAGGTTTGGGCTTTAGAGCCAAGTTGTAAGAACCTGAATTGTGGCATCACTTTCTGCTAGCTGTATAAATTTAGCCACGATGCTTAACATCGTTGGGCTTTAGTTTCTTCCTTTGTAAAATGGGGATACTGGAGGGAAGAGAAGAGAGTAGAAAAAGGGGAGAGGGAGCACAATGGAATATGGGAGAGGACTATGGGAACTTGGGAGTGACCACACCTGAGGGGAGAAATCCTATATTGTGAAAAAATAAACAAGGATGTTAAAAAAAAATTTAGACCTGGAGATATTTTAAAAAATGGAGATACTAAAAAATTAAAATTCTGGGGCCGCTAGAAAAAGTAATTTGTATATATCACTTATGAAAACATCTATTATATAGCAAGTACTTAATCAATGTTGGTAACTATTATAATTCAATATTTTATAATCACTAATAAACAATGTTTATATGTTAAAACTGGATAGTTAGCTAAATTGGGTAAGGGGGTTTGTTTCTTCCTTTTTTGATGTACAGAGCTGTATCTTTATGAAAGGAAGGTTTGGGTGCTGGTTACTCTCTACCCTGAGTTGATCATCACCTCCATATAAATATACCCATCTGCCATCTCCACTTTGGTGGCAGTACCTTTGCCATACTAGCATTGGGGCAGAGGATCTGGAGGTCATATTTCTTGCATGCCTGTAACAGCAATATTCCTGTTAAACATTTACAATTAGGCCCATATCAGTCTGCCCTCATAACTGCAGTCTGCATGGTTCAGCTCATGTATGATAAAGGTTATGAGCTGTTGGGGGTTCCTGGACCCAATTCCAGTGGAGGCTTCCCCACACCAACAAGCAATTCTCAGCCTACTGGTGTCTGAGAATTTAACTCAATTCTGACACTATCTTCCAGAGATAGCATAAGATTCCACATTAAGGGCACAATCTCCCAAGACTGCCCTTCTCTCCAGGTGCTGAGTGTGAGCCCAGGCAGCAATTTGTGCTTCTGACCGGCTCTAAATCAGAAGTTCTCAGGACCCTCTCCTTTGGTTCGGTTAATTTGCTAGAATGACTCACAGAACTCAAGTAATTCATTTGAATCACCAATTTATTACAAAGGATACAACTCAGGAACAGCCAGATGGAAGAGATGTATGTCCCACACAAGGTATAGGGAAGAAACACGGCACTACCATGCCCTCTTCAGACACACCATTTCCCCCAAATCTCACATGCTCACCAAAATGAAAGCTCTCTGAAACCTCTCCTTTTGGATTTTTATGGAGGCTTCATTAAGTAGACATGATTAATTCATTGGCTGTTGATAATTGAGCTCAACATCCAGCCCCCCTCGCTTCCCCACAATTCTGGAATGTGGGACTGGAAGTCTTACCCCTCCAGTCACAGAGGTGGTTCTCCTAGAAACCAGCCACCATCCTTAGGCTTGTGTAAGGTGACCTCATTAACATAACAATGGACATCTCTAACACTTAGGCAATCCCATGACTTTTGGGAGCTGTGAACCAGGAACTGTGGATGAAGACCAAATATATAATTTATCCTTCACAAGAGAGCCCATCACATTGTGTCTTGTAAATCACAACATCATATGAGTACATCTGAGCCAATTGGGAGAATCTCAGATTCACAAAGAACCAGTGAATTTGACTTTGCCTGGTAAAATATATGTCCAAAGGCTGCGGGAATCCTGCAAAAAAAAAAAAAAAATTCAAATTCATTTTCATGTATATTTAACCAGTAAACATCATTTAAAGAACAATACACACCTTAAATATCCATATACCAAATCCTAACTACAAAAGCTACCGGCTCACTTTTATGCTTTTCTCAGTTCTGCCAATAGAAATACACATCTATACCAGAACTTCATGAAAATGAGTCATTCCTAATGAAGGTTGCCTCTTTGCACTGATTTTGTTAAAAAAAATAAATTCATGCCTGAGCATCTCCATCTGTGGAATTAGAGTTCCACAGCATAGAAACAGTCTGATGTTCAATTAAGAGCGAGGCAGGGGGAAGGTGCTTGACTCCTATCATGGCCCCACAGTTAGCTGTGCAATTATCACCGAATGTATAACTCATCACTGCCATGATAATGTCACACATCAAAATAGCGTTGGCACTTATTGTAAGCTTTGCCTCTTCTTGTCTGATTTTTGAATGTCTGCTAAGAGGCACAACCTACTGTTACAAACTGTAAGAGATGCGACTTCAAGCTCAATTTTCCCAACTACTCCCTCTTCATGCTCCTGCATCAGTTTAATTGAAGAATTATCCCGAGATTGCCAGATGAGCTATTGGAGACTCATATCATTTGCAACTGCTTCTCTGCATGAATCAGGGTTTTCTTAGTGCTCTGCAAGCCAAAGAAAATAGAGGAATGAATTACACACTGAGTCTTCTGGTAGCCTTTATTTCAAAGGTTTTATTATGTTTATCCAAACAATCTCATAGTTTCCAGTGATTCTTTGTATTATAAAAACAAGTAAATGCTTTCCTTTGGGACTTAGGATATAAATGTCTACTATTAAAATGTCACATCCATCCAGTTTATATATTGGTGTCCCATGTGAGGGCTCATTTGCAAAGGGGATCTATGTTTTCTTAAGTTTTGAAAACCAGTTCTGCAACCTACCTTTCAAATAGAAGCTAAGTCACTTCCTTTGTCTTCCCTTGTCCCAGCACACCTACCACACACCTAGGTCCTGCAAACACAGCCGTGACAAGACAAAGCCCTATTTCCATGTGATTTATATTTCAGTGGAGGACATACCATCAACACATCAACAGATAACAAGTAAGACCACTTTAGATGATAAATGCAATGAAGAAAATAAACCACATCTGTGCTCATGCGACAGCAGGGAAAGGCCCCTTTGTTTTCTCTGTTGAATACCTTTTGGATTGTGGCCTCCAAGGCAGCCAGCTCCATAGTTGGACAGCTCAAATGCTAACTACTTCAAATGTCTTCCTTATATCAAAGTGAAATCTGTCTCCCTGGAGTCCCACTCATCTGTTCTGGTTCTCCCCTGGGGCTTCTCTGAAAAGGTCTAATTTATCCTTCACAAGAGAGCCCATCACATTGCAGTACCCAGTGATACTGCTCTCCTGGGCCTTCTCTCTCCTGGGCCTTCTCTCTCCTGGGCCTTCTCTCTCCTGGGCCTTCTCTCTCCTGGGCCTTCTCTCTCCTGGGCCATTTATTCTCTGGGTTGTCTCCCTCAGTCTCACATCCAGAGACTCCACAAGCATGACGAGTGCCCAGTTCAACATCCCTCTAGTGGCGTGGTATCCAGGTCTGAGGTGACTCTACATGATTGGACTGAACAAGACAACCCCTCTTCCTTCTTCATTCTCTACTTTTCTATGCTTCAGTTTGCACCCACTCTTTTCTCTGGCTTCATGAGACTGTGGTCTCTTCTTCAGCTTACAGTGAACTTCCTTTTCCCAGAGTTGCCTTAGGTGCGGATGCTGACACACCTGTCTGCCTCCTGGATCTTTGTGTTCTGTTTAAATCCTAGTGCAGGACACAGCAGGACTGTCTCAATTATTTCCTGTGTTAATGACTGTTCAGAAAGCCTGATGGCTTCCTCTCTCAAGCAAAGGTGGTACTTGGAGTGTGGTCAGCCCTCCTCTAGCTGTCTGGACCCTCCCTGGGAGACAGCATTTTCCCAAAGACTGCCTTTTACTGTGGAAAATGGCATTTTCTTTGGTTTCAAAATGGGGCCTTTTAGCATCCAACAGGGCGCAGTGGTTCAGACACTCTGGAGCTGGGCCGTGCACTCTGTGACGTGGCAGCTTTGGCGCACCTGTGCCTAACTGCCTTTCCTCGGGGGCTAGCAGCTTTGGGCACTTCAGGCTTACAGGCTGGCTTTCAGACTCTAATTGAAAAAAATGTAGATTGAAAGGTACACATAAGTGGTCCCAGCTTCCCACTAGTCTTTTCACTCTCTCCCAGCAGTTCCCCCAAACAACCAGAAATTCTAATTGTGACCTCTGAAGCCATTATCTACTCCTGGCCCCTCCACTGGCCGGAGAATTTTCTCTGCCACATTTGCTTTGTACTAGTTGCCTAACCCATATCCATGAAAAGAACCATAGCTCACCTGTTAACTCTTTCTATTCTGGCATCTTCCCTGTCCAGGTGGTTTTTGGGTCCCTGAAAATTAAGAGATTGTCCTTTTGCTATGAAGCCTGGTTCACACTCTCTGGAGCATGCTCCTAAAGCTGGTCATCAAAATAGCCACCCCCTTCCTCATGACAGCCTCAGATGCTCTGGCCATATTTGCGTGCCCTTAGAAGAAACGATTCTAATCTAATCTTGGCTCTATGTGTGTGTTACCACGTATGTACCAGATACCTGAAGTAATAACCTACCTAGATTTACATTCATATTCTGGGTCTTTATTTAAAGCATCCACCTATTTCTTACAACATAGTACTATGGATTTCTGGTCTATAGGATTATACAAAATCTTACTGGAAAGCCAGAGTTCTAACAACAGGTGTCAACTCTCTGCCACTTCCTACCTGGCCACCCTGGGAACCCCCTGTAAACATGATAATATGGACATGCTGTGCCCTCCCTCTTAAAAATCTTTTATTGGTGACTTAAAGGTTTCAAGATAAATTCTAAAGATCCTAGCACAGAAGCTCTGGTATGGACTGAATGTTTCTGTCTCCCCTCCCTCTCCTACCACCACCAATGTGCAATTGTTTAAAACTTAACCTGCAAAGTGATAGTATTTACATGTGGGAGTAAGTAGGGTTAGATGAGTTTGTGAAGCAGAGCCCCCAATGTGAGGCTATTTCCTTCCTAAGAAAAAGAAGAGACAGCAGATCCTCCCTCTGTCAAGTGAGGGCACAGCAAGAGAGTAGCTATTTGCAAGGGAAGAAGAGAACTTCTCATCAGGAACTGAATCAGCTGGCACCTTGACCTTGGACTTCCCAGCCTTCAGAGCTAGAGAAATAAATTCTGTTGTTTAAGCCTGTCCACAGCATTTTGTTATAGCAGCCTGAGCAGACTAAGACAAGCTCTATTAAGAGCTGGACTGTCTACTACTTCTTTATCTACATCCTTATTCAGGCCATGCAGAGCTATCCTAGAGCACACTTTATAGCTTTATAGCTATTCACTGCCATGCTGCGTGCAGTACTTCTTCACACCTGGGCCTTAGCATTTCCTCTACCTGAAAAGTCATTGCTCTTTTCTTCATTTGGTTAAAGCCCCAGTTGAAATCCATTTCAAATACCACCTCCTAGAAAACTTTCCGTGAATCTCTAGCCTGGGAACCCCCTAGACTGGGCTCCCCTAATACCTTGTGTATCGTTGTAGGGTAAGGTAAAGTATCAGGCTTTTCTGCCCTCCCACCATTAGGATAGATGAGGGAACCCTGTGGTCCTGAATGCATGCCTGATGGCGGGCACCTGAAGTGGGTACACCTGGGCTGAGAGACTGAGTTTATAAGGGCGGCGTCATGGGGACAACAAGCAAAAGCCAAGAATGAACCAAAGTTGAGAGAAGAAGAGAAGCAGAGAGAACGCCAGAGAGCCCAGAGAGAATGAGGATTTGCTGGGGGCTGGGAGGACTGCCAGCCTCCCGCCCCCCCCCCCAGCACCCCTGCCTGCCATATGCCTGGTAACACCCCTATGTTTATAGCAGCACTATTTACAATAGCTAAGCTTTGGAAACAGCCCAAATGCCCAAAAATAGATGACTGGATCAAGAAGATGTGGTACATATACACCATGGAGTATTACTCAGCATTCAAAAAAGATAAACACATGCAATTTGCAGCAACATGGATGGCGCTGGAAGGGATCATGCTCAGCGAAATAAGCCAGAAAGAAAAAGAAAAATACCGGATGATCTCACTCATAGCAGGAATCTAGAAAACTTAAATAAGGGACCAGGAAAATGAATAACTATAAGAAAGTGAAAATCAAAATCAACAAAAATCTATGAACCAGAGACACTTTGGGGGGGGGTGGCGGGAGGGGAGGGATTGGGGTCAAAATGGGGGGTTGCAATTGTATGGGAAATATAAAAATAAAATTTATTATTAAAAAAATAAAGGCTGAATAATACACCATATATTATATATATATTAAATACATATATATATATATATTTAAAAAAAAATCCCAATAAAAGACCTGCAAAAGCCACTGAGGACTCTGACTCCTCCTTTACCCACTCTGATGGATCAGAAAACCTGCTCTGTGGCCCTTCCTGCCCCTACAATAGTGTAAGGCCAGGAATGGCTACAGTGCAGGTTTTCTAGGATCCCATGCAGACCGGGTAAAGAAGGAGTCAGAGTCCTCAGTGGTTTTTGCAGGTTTTTTATTTAGATTACCAGGTACACGGCAGGCAGGGGAGTTGTGGGGCCGGGGGGCTGGCAGTTCTCCCAGCCCCCAGCAAATCCTCACCCTATCTGGGCTCTCTGGCGTTCTCTCTGCTTCTCTGCTCTCGGCTTCTCTGCTTCTTTCTAGTCTTCTTTCGGCTTCTGCTGGCGTCCCCATGACGCCGCCCCTAAAAGCCCAGTCTCAGCCCAGGTGAATCCCATCTACCTAAGCCCACACCCTATTCCAGGTGCCCGCCATCAGGCATGCATTCAGGACAAGGATCCATCATCTATCCTGATGGCGGGAGGGCAAAAAAGCCTGACATTTTTTCCTTACCCTATAAATAGTCTACTCAGCATTTACCACACTGTATGTGACCAAGATACTGGTCTCTTCTTGCACTAGGGGACATCAGCTATGTCCTTCAATCAGGACCGAAACACGGGAGGAACTTAAGTGATTGTCCAATTTTTTCATCTCCAGGTGCAGCAGACCTCTCCTAACTAGCCTGATGTTCCCCTCAGCAGTGTATTTCAGTCAATCCACCTGTTCTGTTCCCCACTGTCTCTGGTGAATCACCTCACACCCCACACCTCTGGCCTGTACCCCAGCTCTTGTATGCATAAAATAATCTTAAAAAAAAAGGAATCCAGCAGTTGGAGGAGCAGGATGATCCCTTCTACTTCTACCCTTTTGATAACTCTGTTTAATTCAATAATTATTTATAAAGCATCTGTATGCAAATCCCTATGAAGGTACACAAATAAAAATGCAAACAGTGCTTCAAATTCTTTTTTAGAATCAAGTCAGGGTAGCTTGAAAATGGTCTGGAAGAAGAGGTTGGGTTTTTGTGTGAACACATGGGGACAGAAAAGTTTAGAAAGAGGGAGCAACATAAACAAAACCTGCCAGGAGAAGTGCTTGGGGGAGGTGGTGTTGATTAAACAGAAGATGAGACTAGAGGAGTGGGTTGGAGGCCAGATAATGGAGCGCTGAGCGTACCAGGCTCTGAGCTTACCAGAAGTTAAAAAGTAGTTACAGGGAAAGTCACTGAAGAGTTGTTGTTGTTTTGGGGGCTTTTTTTGATAGATTTAAGAAATCTATTTAAATCTTTGGAGAAGGGTGAATTAAAGTATATAGGGCAAGATTGGATGCAAGCAGTAGACCATTATTGCAATAATCCTGAGAAGATTAAGGTGATCCTGAAGTAGAGTGACACGTTAGGGAAAGGAGAGGCGGGCACAATGTGGAAAGCATTGGATTTAGGTCTTAATTAGCACATTTAGGAGAACATTTATGGGGTAAGTAGATATTGTGTTTACATTGGTTAATTGAAAGTACATTTCCCTGGAGCTAAATTACAGGGAACACTATTAAATCACAATTAAGGTCTATCTGGCTATCTATAGCATTATGGATTTTGTAGGTGTTGGGACCCATTCAATTTATTGCTGGACAGCAATATTTTTCATATTGCCCATTAATTGAAAAACCAACTGCAAACAGAATATCAGCACTAAACTGACGCTACTGATTGAAGAAGGCCCAAAATCCTTGACTGTCCCAGCTACCAATGAATGGTAAGAGGAATTTGGGGTTTGTACAACAGTCTTCCCACTGTTTGGAGATTTCACAGATCTAAAGAGAAATGGAAACTGATTATCCAAATAAAAGCTTAGCAGTGCATGCCACAGAGATACCCAGAAAACCTGGAAAATTCACACTAAGCTAAAGCACATTGAACTTTCTGCTAAGTAAATTGATGTAGAGATAAACAGGATCTGTAGGAATTCAGATATAATATATTTATCCTTTCAATTAGTATTTATATTGTCCTAAAATAAATACTAACAAACATTAGTAAAGATATAAATGGACAGATTAGGATTTTGTAAGGGCAGGAAGGACCACAGTGCAGGTTTTCTGATCCCATGCAGACCGGGTAAAGGAGGAGTCATAGTCCTCAGTAGTTTTGCAGGATTTTTATTGGGGTTCAGTGGGTATATGGCAGGCAGGGGTGCTGGCTGGGGGGCTGGCAGACCTCCCAGCCCCCAGCAAGTCTTCACTCTATGTGGGCTCTCTAGCGTTCGTTCTGCTGCTTCTCGGCTTCTCTTTCGGCTTCGGCTTCTGCTGCTGCTACTACTGCTGCTACTGGTGCTGCTGGCGTCCCCCCCATGACGCCGCCCTTAAAAGCGCAGTCTTAGCCCAGCTGAATCCCATCTACCTATGCCCACACCCTATTCCAGGTGCCCGCCATCAGGCATGCATTCAGGACCGCAAGGATCCATCATCTATCCTGATGGCGGAAGGGCAGAAAAGACTGACATTTTCTTTACCCTACAGATTTAAACCCCCTCTTTTTTCACTAGGTGATCTTTTCACTATGTGGAAAACCTGCTTAACTTCTCCAAGCCTCAGTTTCATTATCAATAAAATGGGCATAATAATGGTACTTACCTCTCAAAGCCTTATGAGGGTTAAATGAGTGAGCATATATACATCTATATATTTATATCACCATGTATATAAGTATACATGATAGTATATGCATGTATATAAATTATTAATAATTGCTAGTTATTAATACTAATAATTATATACTATGTACTAATTTCATCTGTAAGTTGCTTTAAGAGCTCAAATCTTGCTAACTGCAAGTCTTTCTTCCTAAGAAGACATACAGATGACCAACAGGCACATGAAAAATTATTTGTCATCACTTATTAGGGAAATGCAAATCAAAACCACAGTGAGATACCACCTCAGACCTGTGAGAATGCCCCATAACAAAAAGGACAGAAACAACAGTTGTTGGGGAGGGAGGAAATGGAACCCTCTTACACTGTCAGTGGGAATGTACACTGGTCCAGTCCCTATAGAAACAGTATGGAGGTTTCTGGGGGTGGGGGAGAGAGAGGAACTATAGAAGACACATGGACGGAATTAACAATTCATGTGTGAGAGATATAAAACATATTTGCCTAGAAGTGGAAGGATATTGCTTTATTATATTTAGTAGGGGAAAAAAATTTTATTGAGTGCTTACTGTGTGTCTGCTATAGTTCTAATTGCTTTATTTTTTTAAGATTTATTTATTTATGCATATAAGAACTGGAATATAATTCAGAGGTGCAGGGGGCAGGGGTGGGGTTTGAGAGTATTCACCAGAGACAGAGTGGGGAACAGAACAGGCAGACTGACTGAAATACACTGCTGAGGGGAGCAGTGGGTGAGACAGGAAAGGTCTGCTGTGCCATGTGGGTAGCTTCCTGGCCAGGCCGGGATCAAACTCGTGCTGCAGAGGCTGCATATAGCTTCACAGTGCTGTGCTTAACCCCTTGTGCCACCAGGGAGGCCCAGTTCTAATTGCTTTAAGTGTTTAGATGAATTCTAGCTTCAAAACAATCCTAGGAGGTGAATATTACAATTAACTCCCATTAACAGAAAAGGTAACTAGTCCCAGATCACACAGCCAGTAACTGGTTAAGCCAGGACCAGAACCCTGGCTCTAGAGTCCACCTATTATTATTCTTACTTATTATGGGACACTGTCCCTGGGGTAAGATCAGAAAGAAGGGAACCTCTTGAATTATGATCTTACCTCATGAGAATAGAAATCACATCTGCCTTAATCACACTAGCACCCACACCTGGCACATGGTAACAACTCAATAAAATTTTGTTGACAATATGAATAGAAGCTTCCAGTATACCTGTCTCTCCATTTTTTTGAAGACAGTCCTGGATGGGGTCTTCCTGGGTGGCCAGTGTGATGGACCAAGAATCACATCTCAGAAACTTCTTACGTCACTGGGGAAATCACAGGTCAGCACCACCCAAAGAACAATGACAGCACTCTTTTGGGCAAAGACGAATTTGTTGTAGTGAAAAAGAATAAAATGTTATTCTCCCTCTTTCTAAAATAGCACAAAAATGTCTCCTTGGTTACCTGATGCCTCAAACAAACAGTAGCTAAAGGACTTTTTCCCTTCTCCCATGTTAAATCTGGCTGCATTAAGTCACCACAGCCCAAAGAGATTTCCTGTCCTCCCCCTTCCTCTTCCAGTGACTCTTCCAACCTTGCCAGTGATGAGAAGGTGGTGGTTGAACTGGCTTCTATCTTGCTTTACGTAAACAAGAACCATCTGTAATAGAAATCATCAGAAACCAGTAATTGGTATGGATCATTTGTAATGCACTTTTAGAGTTTTCTGATGGAAAAAGATTCTTCTAAAAAGAACCTTGCCCAGAAAGTGTCCAGAGTAGGAAGTTGAAAGTTCTCATGGTACAAAGTGGTTTTCTGACAGCTTCCAAAAACTGTGTCCTGGCGCTGCCATGAAGCCTCCTCTATCTAGCGGGGGATTGGAAGGAAAAGGATGGCGACAACATAGGGACTGAAGGTGACAAGAGAGAAAGACCGCTAATTCCTGGTCTGGTTCTCTTCTACTTTTCACCATGCTGCTTCTACCTGAAAGCATCACTGTGACATTTGGCAAAGGATAAACCTGGTACACATGCACACACACCACAGACACCAAGGCCTGGTACACACACACATACACACACACACACACACATACACACACACACACACACCCCGCAGAGATATAGGTTATAAAGGTTAGTTTTTTCCAACTATTAGATAATATTCCTTCATATCTGTTTACCACATTTTATTTGCCCATGTGATAACAATGGATGCCCATGTTGGCTCTAAATTCCAACTTTCACAATCAACTTTCCAATGAAAATTTTCTACATACCGTAGCACAAGAATTTCTCTGGTATACATTTTGGAATCTATTCTCTGAAAGATATTTATGAATAGTGACCAGGTATCAATATATTCCAGAAATAAGATTACTAGATTGTGGGGAAAATATATTTAAATTCATCTTTAGATATTTTTTAATGAGTTGGTGCCAAGATAGCACTTTTGAATGGTAACATAGATGACAGTGGAATGCCTAGCTGATGCCAAAGATTTGGGGCTTTGCAGTGGCCTACAAGTCAGCTAGTAGACAACATACTTCTGAGCTAGGTGTGAATAAAAGTCTACCTCTGGTAGCATTCAGTCTCTGAATTGCGGTCTCCATCTCAACTGACATTGGAGTTCTCCATTGTCTTGAATTGCTGTTGTCTAGAAGACTGTATGTATCTCATTATGTTACAGTTTAGGGTGAGGGGTACCTCAGGACTCCCAAACCTGCATGGTCTAATGGATTCTGCCATCCACCACATCAAGACAAAACATACTCTACTGCATAAAACCTTTAATGAAAAGGGACTTTAATACAATTAGAGTGCAACAGAGAGAAGAAAAAGAATAGAGTTAAAATAGTTCCTAATTAAACAGCCAAAGTTATCTATCCTTTCGTGGGTAAATGCCCAGCCAAATGGGGTCAGACCAAAGCAGGGCCACTGAGGACTAAAATCTTGCCACATATCCAAGACACCTTCTGGTGGGGACCCCTAGAAAAGGGGCAGAAGGGGCCAGGAAAGTGTGGAAAGAAAGAGCAAAATCAAAATTAAGATAAAGGCTGCCACTGTCAGCTTCCCACATGTCTCTCCCTCATCTGTTTCAAGTGTCTCTTGTCATGTTCCTCAAGTCCCTGGTACAAGTCCGAGGCTGAAAAACAAGCGTCTCTCTGCTCCAGCTGCCCCCTCCAGTTCTTCTTCTTGATCTCTCCTTCCTTCCTTCTTCCAGTCTTCTCTCCAGTTTCTCCTCTCTGTTCAGCTCCACCCTCTCTAGGGTAGGGCAGGGAACCTGGAACCTCCCTTATCCCTGGGGATTAACCTGTTACAATTAGGCATTCTGGTAGACCAGGGACCCATTCTCATGTTCAGTGTTTGGGCCTACTGAGGCTTGCCTCCTGTTCACAATTCAGGATCCTGGTTCTATATATGCCTGGCTTTCTTGGTGATGTGAAAAGTCAGGAATGATGGAGGATCCATCTCTCCCCTCCTCATAAAATCAGCTTTATTTTGAAGTCATTTTGCTGGTGTTTGTAAATCAGAACTTGACTATGTTATTTCTACATTTTGGGCAAATGAAAGAATAAACCTTTAACCAACCATGTAGACCCTCTTTTTTTTTTTTTAAAGATTTATTTATTTATTTATACAAGCACTGGGTACAGTCAGAAGCGTGTGAGGGTGAGAGAATTCACCAGAGCCAGAGCGGGGAGCAGAGCAGGCAGAGGGACCGAAGTACACTGCTGAGGGGAGCAGCGGGTGGCAGGAAAGGTCTGTGCGCCATGTGGGACCCTCCTCCGGTGGCCCAGGAGCAGCCGGGGATTGAACCAGCGCTGCAGAAGCTGCAGACAGCTTCGCAACCCGGCGCTCAACCTCTGCGCCACTGGGGAGGCCCTAGACCCTCTTTCTTTTAAGACTGGAGACAGGTATCTGCAGAGGAGTTGAAGTGATCATAAGAAATAACTCCTATTAGCCCCCTTCTGTTAACTAAAATGGGCAGCCATGCGTTTTGTCCCTCTTCCCCGCTGCCCACCCCCATCTTCCCTGGTAATGCTTTGGGCATGAGCAAAGGTGGGGGTGGGGGTGAGAAAGGACAAAAAAAAAAAATCTGGGAAAGAAGCAACTTGTGGGGCTGTTTGCAGCTGTTCTGCACAGGAGGGGCTCCAATTCAACTGAATGAGGAAGCTGTTCCCCCTCCCTTTTCTCCCTCTTCCCTCTTCAAGCTTGTTTCTGGGCCTTTTCTCTCTTCTAGAGCAAAATCCTGACAGTGTGCCATGCACTTAGGAAAGGATAATTACATCTGTATCCCTGGGAGAGACAGGTCTGCTGTCAGCAGGGAGGAATCTGATGTGGATGCAAATGGAGTTAAGTGTTCCATAAGCATAAACACTGGCAGCTCCTGAATTAAATCAAGGAGCAGCTATTTCTCTGACCAAAACTTCCCTCAGGGCAATTTTTTACTTTGGGTCAGAGAAATATCAAAAAAATAATAACTTTATCTATTGTAAATAGTGCTGCAATAAACATAGGGATACATGTGCTCTTTAGAATCACTGTTTTTGTGTCCTTTGGGTAGATCCCTAGTAGTGGAATTGCTGGATTGTATGGTAGCTCCATTTTTAGTAGACTGAGGAAACTCCAGACAGCTTTCCACAGTGGTTGGACCAGTTTGCACTCCCACCAGCAATGTAGGAGAGTTCCTTTTTCACTGCATCCTCGCCAACATTTATTGTTGCTTGTTTTTTTGATAAAACCTGGAAACAACCCAAATGCCCAAAAATAGATGACTGGATCAAGAAGATGTGGCATGTATACACAATGGAATATTATTCGGCAATCAAAAAATATACACTCATGCCATTCGCAGCAACGTGGATGGAGCTAGAAGAAATTATACTCAGTGAAATAAGCCAGAAGGAAAAAGAAAAATATTGGATGGTTTCACTTATAGCAGGAATGTAGGGGAACCAAATAAGATATCAGTGTAAAAAAAAATAATGACAGTACAAAACATAATGGGGCAAAAACAGACAATTATAAACCAGAGACATACTGCAGGGGGGCAGGAGGGTGGGGGGTTAGAGGGAAGGAGGGAGGAATACAGGGGACTGTGGTGATGGTACACGGGTGCCTTGGGGAAGGAATTCTATGGGGACTCAATCTGAGGGGGTGGGGGGAAGCAAATATTGTCTAAAAAAAATGTAAAAAATTGATAAATGTTAAAATAAAAAACTGAAAAAGTAAAATAATAATAATAATGACTTTACCAATCTGTCCAGCTAGGTTGTCTTCCAAAGAAAGAGAAATGACTGAAAACTCCTTAGAAGGAAATGATCCTGGTCTTCAGGGTAATCCAGAACTCGTCTCAGGCCTGAACCAAGGCGGGGCTCAGTAAATATTATAGAACTTTCTCTAATGCTTGAGGAGAATCTACAAGAAAGTCAGAAGGGGTCATCAGGTAGTACCTTCATAACCTATTTCAGCCTTACATGAAGGGTGAGAGAAAGTGCTCTATTATTTAGTAGGCAATGAGCGGGTTCCCAAAATTCCAGACTGGAGAGGAGAGGTGTAACGTAATTTATGCCTAATTGTCAATATAGGATCATGAGCATTTTCTTAAAAGGACAGCCAAATTCCTAAGCATTTACTTTTGAAATGCAAATCTGTATAATAGTGATGGTAGTAGATGCCTAGCAGTTAGAGGCAGGAGGGTCACGTGATTGCTTTCAGGCCCAGCTAGCATGCATCTCCTTAACATGCTCATGCCAAGAACAGGTGAAGGGTCTTGTTTTATTTTGACAAGAAAAAAGGCAAAAGGGAAGACAGGAAAATGACACCTGGGAAGAGGGTCACCATGTCTGTTTCTCCCTCAAAATAAAACTCGAGGGAAGCAATTAGAAGTTACTAATGAAAAGAAAGATGGGGTGCAGCAGTTCTTCCTGCCTTGCCTGCTGCTTGCCTTAGCGTGTATTTCATTCACTCCTCCTTTTCTGCTCCCCACTCTGTCTCTGGTGAATCCTCTCACCCTTCCCCTCCACATACACACCTCTGGCCTACACCCCAGCTCTTATATGCGTAAATAAATAAATCTTAAAAAAAAAAAAGAAAAGGAAGGTGGAAGATTTCTAAGTCTGGACAAGTCACCATGTTGAAGTAGAGGCAAACTACAAGCCACAATAAAATCTCAGGAGGTAAGATCTCAGCTTAAAATCAGGAAGAGCTTTTTAACAAGTGGGATAGAATTTTTAAAATTCAGTTATAGAAAGAGCTGCCTGTGAATTTGCTGAATCCTCTCTTTTGAATATGTTTTAGCAGCATACCCCTCCCTTTCAATGATCCTAGAGAAGATATTTCTGCTTTGGGTTGAATGTTAGATGCTGTATGATATCATCTATTTCTAAAAGGGTTATGTTCCCATAGGTTAAAAAAATCAGTAAACAACTTCTGAGTAAAACTGTTTGAGATGATGTCCTGCCTTGCAGAAGCAAAGTTCTGTTCCTATTATCCCAGCAATCCCAGGAATTCAAATTACTTTCTCTCCATTGCATGGTGGTTAATTTCTTTTCCTGTAAAATTTCTCTCCTTCAGATGATCAGACAGCATGGGACCCAACAATAACAGATATTTCTCCATCCACACTAACTCTGAAAATAAACAAAGAGGAGATTCTTATTTGAGGATTTTTTTCCAGTTGTTCATGCTGGGGATACAGACAGCAAGAACCCAAGTTCATCGTGAAGACTCAAAGTTTCCAGAATCCTACAATAAACTCATCTTCTATGTACTTGATTCCATTTCTTACATAGTTAGCAGTAAATCCAGACCTTCCCAACTTTTGTAAAAAAATAACTGACTTAATCAACTCTCTTCTCACCATCAAATTCCTCCTTCTTGACCAGGTGAGGTCTCTTGCTCCGGGACAGCCCTCTCCACAATGCACAGAAGTCCTGAAGTCACAGGCAGGGTCATACTCTCAGTGATTGTTGTAATTCATCCTGATTTTAAGTAAATCAGCCCATCCTAGGAGACTCCAGTCTGGGGAGAAGAATGCACATTTTTTACATATTGACTGTGGCCTAGGCTCTAAGACACCTTAAATCTTTATTTCAGTTAATCATCTCAGTCACCCTGAAAGTGGGTACTTCCTCTTCTAGGGCACTTGTCCCTTCCTTTTTGTACCCTGTACCCTCGGGATACCTGAGTTCTGAGAATACCAAACAAGGCAGGTTGGAATCTTCAGGGATCTTTGTGTTCTGAATCATGTTCACTTTCATCATGGGAGTGGGCATTGAAGCCTCCCAAGTGGCACTAAAAGGAATATAAATTTCTCAGTGCAGATACGATCACACTATAGTGTTTCACCCTCAGTTTATGCTCTCGTCTTATCCTCTTTATAGTTCATGCCAAGTTCATCTCCACTGTCACATTCTATGCTAAGAGGCATCAGGAGAGTAGAAAGTACTGAGGCTGCCAAGCAGCCTTCATCAGTTATTCATACATTCCTCTCCTTGGAGATCTCATCCAATAACCTCACCTCTCCCTTAGTATTTCGGTCATGGTACCCCACCTGCTTGTGAGCCCTGCAAGGTTAGAGATGGATTTAAGCTTTTTGTGTGGTGCCAGTGGCGTTATTTGAATGCTCCACCTGACCTCCTAAGGTGAATTTCAATAGGTCAAAGGCATACTAAAGTCATACAACCTGTTTATAGGTGGAGGGAAAGGTGAATATCCTCGGGAAGAAAGAAACTTGCAGTAAATTGTTACTTGGTAGTTCTTGCTTAATAGATAAGGGTGTTTGAACTGCAGGAGGAAGCTGTGGGAGCTGTGAGACTAAAGTAAAATAAATACAGGTAAGCTCCTCTAACAGTGATTTTTTCCTTTTAGAGAAACCCATACCCAACAATAGCATTTTATTCACTTTTATAGACCAAAAAACTGAGGCTTGCAGAGTTTCAATAAGCTAGTCAAGACTGGATGACTCCAGAGCTACCTTAAGATTCCAAACTATTTATAACACATAGAAAAGACCCCTATCCCTTCAATATTTCACTTGGTATCAAGATTTCAAAGTCAATTATATGTCCAGCCCCCTCCACAGAGTCTTCTAGGCCTCTGCAATGCAGAAGGGTTTCTCCATTCCCTGTGCCACATAATTTAGTACCTAATTATATATTGTCTTATGATGTTCTCTTAATTGCTTCAAGTGTATTTGTTCTGTTTCCCCATTAAGTTTATCACAGAAATCCTTGAGGGTAAAATTTTCTTTTTAGTGATTTCTCTACTCTTCCACCCTACCCATCGCTCACTCTACCGAGAATGTGAAAATCAAGTCCTAAGATCTGGCCCAGTCCACACTATCCTTGGTGCATAGGAACTTGGAAGTAGTGAGTTATTGTAGAAAGAGAATGTGAAGGAAAGAGAAGTGTGTACTCTAGTCCTTCCTTTCCTCCCAATTTACTCTGTGACATTGGAAAAATCACTGTCTTCTCTGGGCCTATTCCCTCATTGATGGAATGAAGGCGTTTAGCAAGGGGACCCCTGATGTTCTTCAAGCCCTATGAATCTATCTCTGTTAATGGAAAAATTCCATGAAGACTTTCAAGCTGAGATCGCTGGGCCCTACATATGGATGGTCGATAGGTAGGTGGAGGGAAATGCTAAAGGAACCGACTAGAAGCTGCTCCCAGTGGAGCTTTACTCCCAGAGTGTGTCTGTGCCTTCCATCTCATGCCATGAAGGTGGCAAATACACGAAGCCAGAGGGAGGTCCAAAGAGGAGACATGCTTACATAAGCTCATAAGCTCTACAAGGCCATTGAATTTCAAGGGAAGGCCAGCAGAAATGCTTTTCCTCTGAGGCAGGCACTATCAAAGGTAACCTTGATTACTGCATGGTGTCAATCCAATCAGCTGCACTGATCATTAAAAGCTAAAAGCTTGGATTCCCCAAAAGGGAATTGATAGACTGCATAGGTACCCCTGCAGGGACGCATCATAATTCAGCATTAGTTAAATGTACCATTAAAGTATCCATGTAGTTAATGGAATTTCGTTTGGGTTTGAGGTTTTTTTGTGTTTTTGTTTTTTTTTTTTTTCCTGAGTTGTTTAAATTGCCTCTACCATGAATGACTTCCTGAATTAAAAATTAAATGGACTTTCAAGTATTTAATTAGATATATCTATTACTGAAGTGAAGAAAACAACAAATTCACCTTAAACATCTTGTATTTAAAGGAATACAGTATGTCTTCAAGATTACAAGCATTTAGTTGACAAATTTAGCTACAGCTGCTTGTAGGGATGAACAGTAGATAGAAATTTTTGTGGTTCTTTTTTTCTTAGATTGTATAGTCTTAAAGGCACTTTTGCTTGTTGGTCCCTTTGAGGTCTTTAAATGCTTGCAAATCTCACAGAAACACATTATGAGATTATGAAACTGATATACAATGAAGGATAATGGTGATGTGATGGTGCTATGCCAGCCATAGTAAGTCGAGACTCTTCTGGAAGAGGGCAGAGCTTTCCCTGCCTAAATTTGCCATGATTGGGCCTCCCTGGTGGCGCAAGGGTTTAAGAGACAACTTACAAAGCTATCGGCAGCCACTCCAGCACGAGTTCGATCCCTGGCCAGGGAACTGCCCACATGGCACCTCTCCTGACTCGCCCTCTGCTCCCCTCAGCAGTGTATTTCAGTAGATCTGCCTCTTCTGTTCCCCACTCTGTCTCTGGTGAATCCTCTCATCCCCCCCACACCTCTGGCCTGTACCCCAATTCTTGTATGCACAAATAAAATAAATCTTAAAAAAATAAATATATTAGCCATGGTTTAGGCATGCACATGAAGCTCATAGAAAATACAAGAAACTCCAGGTCAGAGTGAGTATCTCCCTCTTCTAGGAAGGGAACAATGGTTTGGCCTTAAGACCCCTGCTCAGGCTCCGGTGATCCCACAAGTCTTCTCTCTTCCATCCCATGCACGCAGGATTCCTTTCCTTTCAGGCAGCCCCCACAAATCCACTCTATTGCTTTTGACTCCCATCTTTCCTGCACAGTGAGGCACACTAATTTTTCCACTTTCTTCTTCTAGAGACAAAACTAAGGCCCTTCTTATCATATGGGTTTTATTGCTACACTTTATGGGGACTGGAGTGGGAGGGGGGCAGCATTGGAAAGGATGCAGAGGGGGTGTGGCAATAAATGGAACACATGGCGAATTATATGATTAGTTCTAGAATCATGTAATGCCTATAGCAGGTGTTTGTTGAGGATTCACTGTATGCTGGGCATTGTGCTCAGACTTCTATCCATATTATCTTGTTCAGTGTGCTCCAAAACCCTGTCAGGTGAATAGTGTTAGTCTCATTATCACCAATGGGGAAATGGAGGTGTAGGGAAGTGATATGATTTGTCAAATACAATAGCAAGTAAGTGGGAGAGTTGAGATTTGAATCTGACTCAATAGGCCATGCTCATAACTGCTATGCTACCTCTTTCCTCAAAAACAAACCCAAACAAATGAAAACAACTGCACTTAACTACCTGAGCTAGTCCTTGGTATCAGCAGAAGACAAAAGAGGCAGCCTGCTGCCCTGTTGTGGTGTGTGTGACTGCAGGCTCAGACCCACTGCCTGTCTCGAGGATTTGGAGGATGAGAGGTCTGCACAGCTCTCTGGGGCATGGACTCACTCATCTGAATGGGGGCTCCAGATTCGCATCCGCTTCCAAATTTACCTTAAACCTTCCTTGAACCCACAAATTCCCATGGCAATTTGTCCTGGACTTTGCCTGCTGTGGATGCAGCATGATGGAGCAGAAGGGGCATGGGCCCCGGGGGCTGGGAGACTTGGGCTCACATTCCCTCCTGGCTAAGTCATTTACCAGCCTTTATCAGTGGGCAACATTTTTTTAACTGTGTTGCTGGACAGGATCCATAATGTAACTCCCTTTCTAGGCCTTAGGATGCACAGCCAACATTTCTCCAAAGTAACAGAGAAAATCGCTGGTCGAATACAAAATTTAATTTGGGTCTCTTATCCATACTCTGCAAACGTTGATATAAAGATACTTCTTAAAAGAGATGAGCATGAAAGATACAAACAAGCTCAAATTTTTCCAGCAAGTGCTCATTTGATGATTTTATGGTTGGACATCCTAAACTAAATTTATGAACATAGTTATTCACATTTTTTAAAGATTTATTTATTTATTTATATAAGCACTGGGTACAGTCAGAAGTGTGGGAGGGTGAGAGAATTCACCAGAGCCAGAGCGGGGAACAGAACAGGCAGACTGACGAAATGCACTGCTGAGGGGAGCAGCGGGTGTGGCAGGAGAGGTCTGTGGGCCATGTGGGACCCTCGCCGGCGGCCGGGGATCGAACCAGCGCTACAGAGGCTGTGGGCAGCTTCGCAGCCCAGCGCTCAACCGCTGCGCCACAGGGGAGGCCCCATAGTTATTCACTTTCAATCAAGCTGCTTGCAATAGAGTGTTCCCTGAAGTTTCAGGAAAGTGCATCTTTGTGGTCAGGATCCAGGGGTCAGGGGATGAGGCTTAGAATTTCATCAACTTTGGGTAAACCTCTGAAGACTCAATGCCACTCATCTTCACATCTTAGGCCTTGTGCCTCACCCAAAATTCATGGTGCCTCACCCAAAATTCTATCTGTCATGTCTGTTTCGTCCCACCAAAAGTTAATAAGAACAAGGGTCAGAGCAAGAATGAACATAATGTGGATGAGTTTAGAACTGAGGTTCATCTTCCCTCCTCTCTTTTCACAAATATCTCACTTACTAGGATGTTAGAACTAGAAATTGGGAAGAATTTGCTTCAGTGATCCATTGAAATATAGCAAAAGTAGTGGGAAGTTGGCAGCTTGTAATTTCTCTGGTGCTCATAGGCAACCACTAACAGGCATCCCGGGCATTTATTGAGCACTTAGTATATTTTAGGTGTTGTGTTCTTGCAAACAAATGCAGGAAATAAGTCCTTCTCAATTACAAAATACAAACTTGAGGCTAAGAGAGTTGAGTCATCTCAGTCAGAAACACAAGGTCAGTAAATAGTCAAGCCAAATCCATTCATCTCTCTAAATCCTGTGAGGTGTTGGACACATTTCTCCTCCTTCTGAGCTAAATCGGAAGATTGTTCCCAAAGTATTTCACAATTGCAGATCAGAATGGGGTTTCT